ACCAACAAAGTCCCTGCCCTCATGGACTTTATATTTTCATGGGGGAAACCACAATACATAAAGCATTATAGCACTACAAGAAAAACTCCAGAGGGCATTCAGACATGGACATACAGTATGGTATGAAATCATTTTTAGAGGTTAAGGATTTGAGGATTAAAAATACTGTCTCTGACAGCCTTGCCTTGCCACTTTGGGGCTTTCTTTATGCTCCACTTAGCAAAAGCTTAAAGAATGGAAAAATGGAATCCCTTGTTTGTTTTATCAGGACAGTTTCCCTTTCACAATTTGCTATTTTTCCTCATTGAATTAGGAGGACAATTTAGTGTAATGTAGACACAGACTAAGTGAACTGCTCATCACAAGTCCTCACATCCCTGTTCGTATGTTATAGAACCCTACGTCAGAAATACTGATTTTAAAATCACTATGAATAGGTCCTGTCTGAAATTTAAAATATAAGGGCTTGAAAACAAATTCAGGGAGAAGTGAAATGCAATAGACTCCTTTCCTGCTTGTTCATGGAGTCTCTTTCTCATTCTTGCTGGTTTTTCCCTCCGTTGGCTGCTATAGATTCCAGAGGAGCTACAACTACCAGGAAGTGAGCCGCACCTTATGTCCCTCAGAAGCCACCAATGAAACAGGACCCCTGGAGCGGCTGATATTTGTAGATATAGCATCCATGGCACCCCGGGGTGCCCAGTACAAACTGCTGGTTACCAGGATCAAGCACTTCCAGCTGCAGTAAGCGGGATTTATTGGGACCTTTCTCTGTTCACTCGTATGCTCTTCCTGTGCTTGTGCATGCTCAGTCCAGCATCCTTCCTTACAGATCAGCACTCTAGAAGGAAATTATCAACTTGGCATATTGTCTTAGCACCTCTGACCTCTCCTGCTCACAGCTGGGCAGCAGGGCCTTATGTTTTCTGTGCAACNTAGAAATAACATCTCATAGTCCATAGCGTGTCTCTTCCCTTCATGTATAGAGCTTCACAGTGGAACAGTAGGAGAAGTTTAAAGACTTCACAGTGGAATGGTAGGAGAAGCCTATACCCACAGTGGTGTTCAGTGGAGCCAGGGATTCAAAGTAGTTGTGATAGCATGATCTGACCAAGCACTATGTGGAGACTATGACATAAGACACTGGGGTCCTTATGATGATTCCTCCATAGCTTAGGGTCTTTGGGGAAATCACATCACTTCTATGTCTCAGGTTTGTGGTCTGTAAATGGAACCTTTGGACTAGATGATCTCCCTGAGCACTTAACCAGATGTAAGCTTCCCTAACACTGTGAGTCAAGGTCATGTGCATCAGGCAGGCAACAGCAGGACCTATGTGGGTGAGCCCAACCTCACTATAACTTGGGAAGTGGCTGGCCAGCTTCTGTGTTGTTTTCCCTGACTCCCCCTCATGGGTAGCCACTTTGTCCTCCATGTGCCCACAGTACCTGATCACATTGTTACCGTACTAACATCACATTGTGCTGTTGGTGATAACACTGTTTGTCTCTCTAATTAGATCACTGGCTCCGCAAGAACAGCGTTGCCTGTTGGGTAGGCAACAGGGTTGCCCGGCACCTCCCATAGCTCCTGACTCAGTGAATGTTTGATGAATGATAGAGAGAACATGGGAGGGTATGATGAAAGGATGGAAAGAAGGAAGGGAGAAAGGAAGGAAGGGAGGAAGGGAGGAAGGGAGGAAGGGAGGAAGGAAGGAAGGAAGCAAGGAAGGACCCAAGAACCTAAACACCCCCAAGATATACACCCAGTGAACATAACAGAGTTACTAAATCATTAGNCATAAAATAATCCTCAAAACCGTAAGAAAGAGAACTGTATTTTAAACTTAAGGGCTAAAATCACTCAATCTTTTCTCACTTAATAGAAGGAAACACTGAGAACTGATAAAATAAATTAGTTATCCAAAATCATGTAACTAGTTTGAAGCTAAGTCAGGAACATAACAGATTCCTGAGGATATTTCTACTAAAGTACTCGTCCTCTCACAAGAACACATCTTTTTATCAACAACAATAAAAATAATTTTAAAATGCCGTAATCTTCCTTCTGTAGTCAGGTCGTTTGACCACGCAATTTAAGAGCTTCATGTCTGATGCCCTGATAGTTACTGAAAATTGAAGCAAAAGGTTTTTCATATTTGTTTTCCCCCATGAATTGTCCAGGCATCCACTTGTCTGTGTAAGTCAGGCAAGCAGGGTTGATACTAAGTAAAACTGAGAAGCTGGTAGATTTTTTTTTTTCAGTGTTTCATGGAGCCACAGCCACCCACCAAACCATGATCTTACTCTGACTCCCTGTGGGCCAAGAGAGCCAATCTTCATCTCTTTTGTGCTTTATTTTCATCCATGCTGGTTCATTATTTGTGCTAGACACAGAAAGACCCAAGCAGCTAGCTTACTCTAGGACAGTATTAATCCTTAGAACTGGTATTTCTGCAACCCCACTAAACAGCTACAACGAAAAGCCATTACAAACAGGAATAACTGGCTGTTTCTAGATTTAACTGCCCTTTTGTGGACAAAGTGACTCACACTATTTTAGTTAACCTAACTGGAAGCATGTGCTATGCTCCCCATAAAATTAACATGTAAAAGCCCAGGGTTTTATTTTATCCTCTCCAATATTTGCAAAAAGGGATCTTGTATTTTTCCCCTTCTCTCCCCATGCCATCTTCACCAGAGTGGAGGAATTATAGCTTTCTAAGAGAGACAGAATGTTTACCTGGGTAATAAAGAGAAAAACTGGAGGATAAAGAGAGAGGCAAACAGGGTGAAGTCTGGGCATGCAGAGGTGGTTTGCAGAGGTCTGCGGACAGTAAGGCTCCAAGATAGCTGTGGGATGTGAGTGAACTGGACAAGAAGGAAAGCGGATGTGGGGTCTGGCAACATTCTTGGCTGCAAGCAACAGACATCAACCAGCTAACATAAGCAGAAAATTAATTTATTAGAAAGATTTGGGTAGCTTACAAACCTGCGTTACCAGGCTCAGACTATGACTGGGGACCAAGGAAGACTAAGCTACAGGGAATTATAGCAACAGCTGAAAAACAGTATGGAGGTTCCTCAAAGAATTAAAAATAGTGCTGCCATATGACCCAACAGTACCACTCCTGGCTATTTATCNAAGAGATGCACAGGATGAGGTCCAGAAAGGTCCTGAGTGCAGGAGCTTCTGTCTCTGTAGAGTTTAGGCACGCCACGCTCCCAGCTCATAGATAGGTTCACCAACCCAGAAGTTCTCCAAACACCATATTTTGGGGATTTTTATGAAGGCTTCATCATGTAGGCATGACCACTCATTAACTCAGCCTCCAGTGCCCTCCACTTTCCAGAGGATAGGGGGTTGAAGCTGAAAGCTCCAACCTTCTCATGGCTTGGTTGTTTTTTCTGGTGACCAGCTTCTATCCTGAAGCTATCCAGGAGCCCACCAAGAGTCCTTATTAGAACAAAGAAGACTCCTATCACCCAGGAATCGCCAAGGGATTTAGAAGCTCTGTCAAGAACCAGGGTCAAAGATCAAATATTACAACAAAAGATGCTCCTAGTGCTCTTATCACTTAGGAAATTATAAGGGTTTTAACTCTGTGCAGAAAGTGGGGGCAGAGACCATATATAGTTTTTCGATTATTTCACAGTGGTATTTATATACCATATTGAGGTAACCAAAGACCATATATGGGGTCACCCACTTATTTGGTAGGAAAGGGCAATATCAAAGAAGACTTCCCACAGAAGGACTTCAGGGATAAGGATAGCCAAAGGCCAGTCCCTGAAGATATAGCCCTTTTGAGAAACAGCGGGTAATTGGGTATGGGGGACATTTGCAGGCAAATTAATTAGAGAAGAAGGCAGTGATCAAGACAAGCCTTGAGAGATTGGAATCAGTGGAGAAAAGAGGGGCTTGTTAATAAGTAGTAACTGAAGAGCCATGTGAAAAAAAGATAAAATTGAAATAATTGCTCATACCATATCTAGTATTAATTACAAAAATAAAACCATAAAATGCTAGAAGTAAATATAGGCCTCAGTAACCTTGGAGTGGCAAAACCTGTCTTGACAATGACTCAAAATCCAGGGAAAAGATGAGGAAATTTGGCTACTTGAATCCAGTGAAGCCTCTAGTTTTAACTACCAGTTTACAGGAAAAACAGGAGATAAAGGAACCTGTTCGATGACACCACAGGGTATGATCAGCACAGTCTAGAATGTGGGTACTTCAGATTTGCTCTGCTGCTTTGTGAGCAGCTTTCTTTAACAAATAAGTGTCAAACAAATAAGTAAAAGGATAGCGTTATCTTAAAAGAGACTCAAAAGACATATCAACCAAATGCAATGTGTGGATCTTGCTTGTACCCAATTTTTTTTTAAACTTTAAAAAAGCAATTTTTGAAACAAAATTCAAACACTGTGTGGATAGTTGGATAATCTTAAAGAATTGTTCATTTTATTAAGTGTGGTAATGGAAATATGTTTATGTTAAAAAGGGGAGGCCTTACTTCTTAGAGTTGTAGACAGAACTATTTACAGATGAAATGGTATGATTTTTGGTATTTACTTTAAAATAATTCAGTAAGGGTGTGTGTGGGAAATAGGAGATATAAGTGAAATTAAATAGTACATTTGTTAATAATTACTAAAGCTAGATGATAAGCACATGAAGATTCATTATACTATTCTTGTTACTTTGGGGTAAATCTGAACATTTGNTGAATATTTTGTGCCAATCCCTTCTGGCTTGCAAAGTTTCTGTTGAGAAATCAGCTCACAGTCTTATGGGAGCTCCATTGTAGGTAACTATCTGCCTTTCTGTTGCTGCTTTTAATATTCTCTCTTTGTCTTTAACCTTTAGTATTTTAATTATGAAGTGTCTTGGTGTGGGCCTTTTTGGGTTGATCTTGTTTGGGACTCTCTGCACTTGGTGGGCTTGTGTATCTATTTACTTCTCCAGGTTAGGGAGGTTTTCAGTCAGTATTCCTTCAAATAGGTTTTTAATCCCTTGCTCTCCTTCTTCTCAGGACTTCTGCTCAGCTAGACTTCAGACAATTCTCAATGATGGTTGCACTGTAGTTTAGTTGTAATTTGATGTGGTCACGAGAGGATGCAAGCGCAGCATTTACCTACCCACCTACCCCACCCCCTGCCGGGACTTGACCAGAAATCCCTGTCCCACATTTTTCTGGTTAATCCTTCTTCATGTTTTAGGAAAATGTTTCCCTGAAAGTCGATGCTGTGCACTTGTACAGGAATTTGAATGTTAATACAATGGCTTGTTTACTTGTCATTCCATGTGCAAACCTATGATCTCAATGAGGGCAGCGACTATGTCTACACAGCTGAATGACACATCTCCTGTGCCCTGAACAATGCCTGGCACAGGAGGGGCAGTCAAATATTTATTGAATGAACAAAGTTCATCCTAAAGTAGCTAGAATCTAGACTATATATTGTTCTGCATTCCTGGCCTGCCAATTCTTATACCTCTCTTCAATATTTTCCCATGTTTTTATTGGAATTAAAATATTCAATATAAAATTTCGATCATAAACCAAAACAAGAAAGGATATATGAATGTATTTGTGTCTCAGCTATTGTTGGCATAATGAATTGGTAACATGAGGTCTGTAAAGCACGCTGCTTAGAAAGTGCTCTGAACACAAAATGCTGAGAATCTAAAAGTAAAGAAATAAATAGCTCCCAAGGGGTACACTGCTCTTTTCAATGAGA